TATTAAAAATATTGGTAATATCAAGCATCGGCAACTCTGTAAGGAACTGGGTACTCATAGAAACTTTTTCTGCATCTTAAAGCAGTCCCTTTAGCATATTTTGCAGTGCAGGTTTGGTGGAGATGTAGTCTTTTAACCTTCTTTTGTTTGGGAAACTCCTTATTTTGCCTTCCATTTTAATTGAGAGCCTAGCTGGGTGGAGCAGTCTTGGTTGCAGGCCTTTGCTTTTCATGACGGAATATTTTTTGCCATTCCCTTCTGGCTTGCAGTGTTTCTGTTGAGAAGTCAGCTGCTAGCCGTATTGGGGCTCCTTTTTCTGTTACTACCTCTTTCCCCCTTGCTTGCTTTAGGATTCTGTTTGTCTTTGATATATGCCATTTTAATGATGATGTGTCTTGGAGTGGGACTGATTGGGTTCGTCTTGAATGGGACCCTCTGTGCTTCCTGGACTTGTGTGACTTTTTCTCTCCTCCAATGAGGAAAGTTTTCCATCATGACTTTTTCAAACAGGTTCTCTATCCCTTCCTTATGCTCTCCTCCTTCTGGTATCCTTATTATATGGATATTATTATGTTTCAGGTTGTCCTGCATTTCCTTAAATGCCTTTTCATTCTTTTTTAGTCTTTTTTCATTTTCTTGCTCTTTCTGGGAGCTTTTTTCTACCTTGTCCTCCAGCTCGCTGATTCGGTCCTCAGCTTCATCTAGCCTGCTTCTGATTCCTTCTACTGTGTTCTTCAATTCAGAAATTTTATTCTTCATTTCCTCTTGTCTCTTATTGATAGTTTCCATATCTTTTTTCATGCTTATATAGTTTGCAGTAAGTTCCTTGTAGTTTCCCTGTAGTTTTTTGTAATTTTCTCTGAGCTCACTGAGCTCATTGAGCTTCCTTAGAACCATTGTTTGGAACTCAATACCTCATATTTTACTTGCCTCTGTTTCATTTAGTTCTCTTTCTGGGGATTCCTCCTTTTCCTTTGAGTGGGGCGTATTTTTTTTTTGTCTTCTCATTATTTGTGAGACTCTTCTCTTTTGCTTCTGATTCTTAAGTTGATCTGTCTTGACTTCCTGACTCTGTGGTATGAACTTCTATGGTTGGAGACCACTGTTTTTGCTTTCTGGATCTGCCTCTGACGATGTCATATGTCCTCCCTGTCTGACCTTAGGCAGTCTGTTCGAGACTTCTAGTAATCTACTGTTTGTGGCTTTCTCCTTCAGCTGTTAATCTATTCACTCTGCATTCAGCAGGGTGCCTCAGAGAGCTCAGGGTGAGGCAGAGTCCCTCCTAAGGACGGGGTTATTGGATCTTCTCTCGCTGGTGCATATGGGTGAGGAGTTCTCACTGGGATCCTGCCGGCTACTCTTTCCATTTTCTCCCCAAAGCCTGTGTCCCCAGTCTCTCCTCAAGTGTCGCCAGACTTCTCTGCGCCCCCTGTAGCCAGGGATCTACTGTCTGAGGCTGCCACTCTGCACTCAGCAGGCAGCTTAGAAAGCACAGGGCAGCATGGAATCCCACCTGGGTGTGGAGTTATTGGGTCCTTTGACCTTGGTGCCACTAAGGGGGAGTGGTCTCTGCCTGAGCAAGGTGGCTGCTTCCACATGGGGGATGAGTCAGCACTGAGATCCCGCTGGCTACTCTCTCAGTTCTCTCCCCAAAGCCTCCTTCCCCAGTGTCTCCTCAGGCATCTCTAGCCCACTCTGCCCCGCCTTTGCCAGAGACCAGGGTAAGTGGCTGCAAATAAAAATTTATACGTTGGCCCTTTAAACAGTTCTTTGCGTCTCCAGCCGCATGTCTCTGGCAGAGAGCAATCCTGCTGCTTTTTTCAGCTGGCTGTTTTCTGTGTACTTTTTGCACTCTGGTGCTGTGGGCTAGAGATCCCCACTTTTGGTTTAGACCCCACTCTTCTGAAGGGGATCCAACTGGCCGTTTCAGTATCCTTCTGGTCCTGCTGCCCGTTGGCACCCTGCCCACCTTCTCAAGTCTCTACCGCACTCCTTCCAGTTAGATTGTGCTAAAGCTGATTCTTCTGTCTCTGAGGTTACAAGGTTCTTCTCTCACTGTTGTTCAGTTGTTTGTTTCATGTGATTTCTCCACATTGTAGTTGTAATTCCAGGTTGGTCCTGGCAGGAGGTCAGTGTGACTTTCTCTCACTCCTCCTCCATCTTGATTTCACTTACAGAAAATTATTAAGGGCATTTTTTAACTGGACAGTACCATCAATCAACTGGATCTATTTTATATCTATAGAAATTTTTTCCTAAGAACTGTAGAATACACATTATTTCAAGTTCACATGAAACATTTACCAAATAAACTACTTTTCAGTCCATAGAGAACACCCTAACAATTTAGAAGAATGGAAATCATATAAAGTATCCCCTCAGGCAACAATAAAATTAAACTAGAAATCAATTACAAAAAGATATCTGGAAAAAACTGCAAATACTTGGAGATTAAACAATACAATTCTAAAAATAAATCAATTAAATAAGGGATAAATGAAAATGCAACTCATCAAAATTTGTGGGGAAATATTGCCAGCAAGATAGCAGATTAGTTATTTCCAAACCCTCACTTCTTAATAAAAACATTAAAAAACAACTAGAGACTGGCTAATATAATTTTATAGGACCTCTGGAAAGCAATCAAAGGCCTACAGCCACAAAGTGAATGCATAGTCAAGAAAAATTCATATTCAAAATAATCAGATATTTCACAGTAATTTTGTTCACCCCTGGCATACTCCCTCACTGGCATTGTGGTTGAGAGGAAGCAACCACTCAGTTCTACATTTCCTCTCTCTAAATATAGGGAACAGAGCAGAACTGATTTGAAATGTTCTAACCTATGTGGAGGCTTCCTGAATAACTGGTCTCATTTTTTTCCTAACTCTGAGCTCAGGTGGGAAACTAAAACATAGCTTCGAACTCAGAATGGGAAACACTACAGGAAAGAGCAGGCAGTGCCCATGAAAGCTATAAGATGACTGACCCCTACTGTCCCCTAAGGCAAGAGATGACGGGTACACATGTAATATAACATCTAAAAATTCAAGAATAAGTTAGCATGAGACCATTTGGGAAATATAAAATTAAGGGACTTATATATTTGGGAGAATTGGAAAAAAGCTCACATGAACACACATGCACAAAGGCAAGACTCATTCTCAGGAAATACCTGAAAAGACCTAACTTCACCCCAGATTGATCTCAAGGCTCAGAACATGTCTCGCTTATTAATGAAGGATTTCCTCAGTGTGGAGATAGTCTGCAAAAACTAGAAATAGATGCTTTCTCAAAGGCCCAAATTTCAACAAAAATCATGAGGAATACAAAGTAACAGGAAAGCAGGACTCATTCAAGGGAAGAAAATGAAGTGATATGAGCTGTCAGTGAAGAAACACAACCATTGGACTTTAACTAGACAAAACTTTAAAGGAACTATCAAATGTGTTGTAATGCTAAAGCAAAACATGGACAAAGAACCAAATGAAATCAGGAAAATAATATATGAGCAAAATGAGAATAATAAAAAAGAGAGATTCTTAAAAGGAAACAAAAGTAATTCTGGAACTGAAAAATATACTTAATCTAAAAAATTATCAGAGGGATTCAATAGCTTCTTGAAAAGTCAGATGACAGAATCAGTGAATTTGAAGACTGATCATTTGAGATTATCTAATCTGAGGGGTAAAAAGAAAAAATAAGAATAAAGAAAAGTGAACAGAGCCTAAGAAATGTATGGGGTATCAGTAAAAACATCAACTTATGAATTATGGGGTTCCTTAAAGGGGACATTTTATTTGAAAAAATATTGGACTCAAACATCCAATATCTGAGGAAAGACACTGATCTACAAATTCAAGATAAAACTGCTATAAAAGAAACAAAAAAAAAATAAGTTCCAAGTAGGATATGTCTATATAGAATCACACCAAGACATAGACTTAAACCTTTGAAAGACAAAGACAATGAAAAAATCTTAAAGCAGCATTAGATTTCTCAGCAGAAACCTTGGAGGCAAGAAGACAGTAGGATGATATATTAAAATTGTTGAATGAAAATAACTGTCAACTATTTTATATCCAGAAAAGGGGGAAACTGTTCTTTAGAAATGAAGGAGAAATTAAGATATACGTAGACAAACAGAAATGGAAATTGAGAGGGAGTTCATTGCCACCAGATGCACACTAAAATAAATGAGAGTCCTTCAGGTTGTAACAAAAGGGCACTAGAGAGTAACTCAAACTCGTATGAATATAAAGATCTCTAGTAAAGGTAAATCCATGAACCAAAATAACGGCCAGTATTAGTGTAATTTTGATTTGAAAATCAGCTTTTTATTTTATACAGTATTTAAAAGACACATGCATAAAAATAATTATAAATCTATGTTAGCAGGTAAACAATATATATGGAATCAGTTACATAAAGTGGAGGAGAGGGAGCTGCACAAAAGCAAAGTTTTAGTATGCAATTGAAGTTAAATTGGCTTACATTTATAGTAGATTTTTATAAATTTAGGATGTTTTGTATTCTTTTATAAGGGGATCTAGATAGATAGATAGATAGATGATAGATAGATAGATAGATAGATAGATGATGTAACAGATAGTATTTGTAATTCCATGCTACCTACAAAGAAAATATCTGTAGAATATACAAAGTATCACTAAAAAGAGAGAACTACACACAAAGGAAGTCAGTAATGAAGGCAACAAAGGACCAAAACTAAGACGTACAGAAAGTAAAAAACAAAAAGTCAAAGGTAATATCTTCCTGATTTTACACTATATTTGATGTAAAAGGATTAATCTCCTAAATCAAAACACATGGATTGGTATACTGGATTAAGATCATGTTATATATATATATACTGTCTACAGAGACTTACTTTCAATCTAAAGACTCAGAAAGGTTAAGAATGAAAGATGATAAAATATATTGCATGCAAAAGTAATCTAATTTGTTTATTATAAAGGAATATTTTGCATTTCCCATAGGTGGAGAAGGCTGTACCTTGGCAGCTGCCTGCTCAGTGATTGGTGTGGGCTCTGATATCGGTGGCAGCATTCGAATGCCTGCCTTCTTCAATGGCATATTTGGACACAAACCTTCACCAGGTAATATTAATATGGTAATTAGGGTGGTTATGCTTTTATGATTTATAGCAATACAGAAATTTGGTCCTTACCAGGATAATCATGCCTAAATTTGGTTATATGTATTTATCCAAATCCTTAAATAAAAATACCTGCTGTTCGTTGAGTACCAGCTCTGTATCAGGCACTCTGAAAGTTGTCTCCCATAACTAATTTTACTTAATTTCCAAAGTAACCCTTTCAGGAAGAAAGGCAGATGAAAAATTCAAATTTCAGGAAGATTAGATAAACCTGCACATAAAGGGTTCACATGCCTTTTCAAATTATTGGTTTTTTTTTTTCTTCTGATAGATACCCAGTAGTGAAATTGTTGGGTCCTATGTAAGTTCCATTCTTAATTTTTTGAGGAGCCATTGTGCTGTTTTCCATAACGGCTGCACGAGTTTGCAATCCAACCCTTTCCTCCACCTCCTTGCCAACTTAAAAAAAATTTTTTTTTTTTATCATTCAAATACATTTGTTTCTGTTTTCCCGCCACCACTTTCCCCGGCCCCACCCACCCCTACCTCCCACCCTCAACCCTTTCCCACTTTGGCTTTGTCCATGGGTCCTTTATACCTGTTTCTTGACTTGAACCTTCCCTTCTCTTTCCCCGCCCCTCCCTCCCTGCTTCCCTCTTGACTCTGTTGGTTTATTTTTCTTTCAATGTTGCTGGTTATATTTTCCTTGCTTGTTTGCTTTATTGATTAGGTTCCACTTATAGGTGAGATCATATGGTATTTGTCTTTCACCCCCTGGCTTATTTCACTTAGCATAATGCTCTCCAGTTCTATCCACGCTGTAGTGAAGGGTAGTAGCTCTTTTCTTTCTGCTGCATAGTATTCCATTGTGTAAATGTACCATAGGTTGTTTGGTTTTTGGGTTTTTTTTTTTTTTTTTTTTTTTGCTTTTATGGAATAAAATAGTCTTTTTAAAACTTTTAAAAATGTTTTTATTGTTCCAATACATTTGTCTCCATTTACCCGCCACCACCCTCCACTGCCGCACCCATCCCCACCTACCCCCTCAATCCTTCCCCACCTTGGCTTCATCCATGTGTCCTTCACACCTGTTCCTTGATCTGACCCTTCCCATTCCCCTCCCCGCTACGCCCTCCCTCTCTCTCGTCCCTGTTGGTTTCTTTTTTCTTTCAATGCTACTGGTCGTATTTTCCTTGCCTGCTTGCTTTGCTGGTTAGGTTCCACTTATAGGTAAGATTATATGGTATGTGTCTTTCACCCTCTGACTTATTTCACCTAGCATAATGCTCTCCAGCTCCATCCATGTCATCGCGAATGGTAGCAGCTCTTTCTTTCTTTATGCTGCATAGTATTCCATTGTGTAAATGTACCATAGTTTTTTGATCCACTCATTTGTTGATGGGCACTCTTGTTATTTGTTTTATTTTTGATAATAGCTAATCTGACAGGTGTAAGGCTATATTTCACTGTGGCTTTTTATTTGCATTTCCCTGATAATTACTGATATTGAGCATGTCTGTATGTATCTGATGACGATCTTTATGTCTTCCTTGGAAGAATGTCTATTCAGATCCTCTATTCCTTTTTCAATTGGATCGGTTGTTTTTCTGATGTTGAATATTATGAGTTATTTATATATTTTTCCCAAGTGGGTTGACTTTTTGTTTTGTTGATGTTTTCCTTCACTGTGCAAAAGCTTGTTAGTTTTATGGAATCCTGTATATTTTTTGCTTTTATTGTTCTTGCCTGAGGAGACATATCCAAGAAAATATTACATAGGCCAGTGTCAAAGAGTTTATTTCCTAACTTTTCTTCTTGGAATTTTATGGTTTGTGGTCTAAGGTTAATACATTTTAAATTTATTTTTGCACATGCTGTAAGAAAGTGTTCTAGTTTCATTTTTTGGCAAGTAGCTGTCCAGTTTTCCCAACACTATGTATTGAGGATATTCTCTTTTTCCCATTGTATATTTTTGCCTCTTTTGTCATAGATTACTTGACCATATAAGCCTGGGTTTATTTCTGGCATCTATATACTTATTCCAGTGATCTATGTGTCTTGTTTTGTGCCAGTACCACATTGTTTTGTTTGCTATAGTTTTGTAGTATAATTTGAAGTGAGGAAACATAAACTATTGTAATAATCATAATCTGCATGTCTTTTTCCATACAAACAACAGTAAACCTACTTTTGCCTATCCCTGTATAAAAACACAACCAATTTTTGTATATCTGTATTCTGCAATGTTACTGAATTTACTTATTAGTTGTAATAGTTTTTTGGTGGTATCTTTCCTGATCTGAGAACAAAATCTTTCAGCTTTTAAACACTGAATATGAAGTTAACCGCATTTTGTCATGTATGTCCTTTATTGCATAGAGGTATGTTCCTTTTATGCACACTGAGTTGAGAGCTTTTATCATAAATGGATGTTAAATTATTTTTCTGCATCTACTGAGATCAGTATATCATTTTTTTCTATGTTTTGTTCAAGTGGTGTAACGTGATAAGTGACCTGTGAATATTGAATCATTCTTGCATCCCTGGATTAAATCCCACTTGATTGTGGTGTGTGATCTACTTACTGTATTGTTGAATTTGTTTTTTTAATATTTTGTTGAGAATTTTTGCATCTATAATCATCAGGGATTTTGTTTTTTGGTTCTCTTGTGTCCTTATCTGGTTTTGGAATTAGGGTAATGCTGACCTCATAGAATGAGCTTGAATGTGTTTCTTCCTCTTTAATTTTTTCGATGAGGTGGAAAAGTTTTAGCAGCGATTTTTTTTTAAGTGTCTGATGAAACTCACCAGTAAATGAGTGGATCAAAAAACTGTGGTACATTTACACAAGGGAATACTATGCAGCAGAAAGAAAGAAGGAACTCCTACCCTTTGTGACAGCTTGGATAGAACTGGAGAGCATTATGCTAAGTGAAATAAGCCAGGGGGTAAAAGACAAATGCCATGTGATCTCACCTATGAGTGGAACCTAAACAACAAAACAAACAAGCGAGCAAACTAGAACCAGAGACATGGAAATAGAAAACAAACTGACAGTGACCAGAGGGGAGGAGGGAGGAGGCTAATGGGGGAATGAAGGTGATCGGTCAAGTCAAGGAACATGTATAAAGGACCCATGGACGAAGACAACAGAGGGGAGGAGTAGGATTGAAAGTGGAAAGTAGGGGTGCATACAACAGGGGAGAGTAATGAGGGGAAAGTGGGGACAACTGTAATTGAACAACAATAAAATATATTTTTTAAAGTCTCACTAGTGAAGCCTTCTGGTCCTTGGGTTTTCTTTGCTGGAAGGTTTCTGATTATTGATTCATTCTCCTTACTTTTTATTGATCTGTACACATTTTTATTTCTTCTTGATACAATCATGGCAGGTTCTGTGTTTCTACAAATGTATCCATTTCTTCTAGGTTATTCAATTTGTTGGCATATAAGCTTTCATAGAAGTCTCTCATGATCCTATGTATTGCTGTAGCAACAGTTTTGATGCCACCTCTTTCATTAGTGATATTACTTGTTTTCTCTCTTTTTTCTTAGTTTAGCTAAAGCTTTGTCAATTTTGTTCACTGATATCAAAATATCAGCTTAGTTGTGTTGATTTTTTCTGTTTTTGGTTACTATTTAATTTATTTCTGTTCTAATTTTGAACTTCCTTACTTCTGTTAACTGTAACCGTATCTTGTTCTTTGTTTTCTACTTACTACTGGTATTAAATTTGGTTGCTTATTTAGGTATTTCTTTTGTAATATAAGCATTTCTCACTATAAACTTTACTCTAAGAACTGCTTTTCCACTATATCTTTTTTTTTTAATTAATTTATTTACTTTTTAAATACATTTGTCTCTGCCTTCCCCCCACCTCTTTCCCTTGCCCCCTCCCACCTTCCCTCCCTCAGCTCTTCCCCTTTGGTTTTGTCCATGAGTCCTTGCTATATGTTCCTTGACTTTCCCCTTCCCTTCCCTTTCCCTGCCCCCCCCCTTCCCTCTTGTCTCTGTTGATTTCTTTTCCTTTCAGTGTTGCTGGTCGTATTTTCCTTGCTTCTTTGCATTGTTGGTTAGGTTCCGCTTATAGGTGAGATCATATGGTATTTGTCTTTCGCCCCCTGGCTTATTTCGCTTAGCATGATGCTCTCCAGTTCCATCCATGCTGTCGCAAAGTTTAGTACTTCTTTTTTCTTTCTGCTGCGTAGTATTCCATTGTGTATATGTACCATAATTTTTTGATCCAGTCATCTACTGATGGGCATTTAGGTTGCTTCCAACACTTGGCTATTGTAAATTGTGCTGCTATGAACATTGGGGTGCAAAGGTTCTTTTGTATTGGCGTTTTGGTGTTCTCAGGGTATAGTCCCAGCAGGGGAATCACTGGATCAAAAGGCAGTTCCATTTTCAGCTTTTTGAGGAAATTCCACACTGCTTTCCATAGTGGCTGCACCAGTCTGCATTCCCACCAACAGTGGACTAGGGTTCCCTTTTCTCCACAGCCTCGCCAGCACCTGTTGTTTGTTGATCTGTTTATGATGGCCATTCTGACCGGTGTGAGGTGGTACCTCATGGTGGTTTTGATCTGCATTTCTCTGATGGCTAGTGATGCAGAGCATCCTTTCAAATGCCTCTGGGCCCTCTGTATCTCCTCCTTAGAAAAGCATCTGCCCAGGTCCTTTGCCCATTTTTTGATTGGATCGTTTGTCTTCTTGGAGTAAAGTCGAGTGAGTTCTTTGTATATCTTGGAGATCAAACCTCTATCTGATGTATCATTAGCAAATATATTTTCCCAAATGGTTGGCTCCCTTTTCATTTTGCTGATGTTTTCTTTAGCCGTGCAGAAGCTTCTTATTTTGATGAGGTCCCACTTGTTTATTCTTTCCTTTATGTCCCTTGCTTTAGGAGACATATCAGTGAAAAAATTGCTGCGTGGGACATCTGAGAGTTTCCTGCCAATGTTCTCCTCGAGGACTTTGATGGTGTTGCGACTTATATTTA